AAAGAAAGAAAGAAAAAGGATAAAGTTTTACCAACTCGGTCTCCATCTCTCACTATGGAAAAAGCTGTCTGTGAAAAAATTATATAGCTGGATACTTTCCTGCTAGTTATCTTTGCTTGAAATTTTTACTAAGTTCTCAGATGACATGAATAAACAACAAAGCACAGGGCCCAGACTAACAGGTAGATGGAGAATAAGGAAATTAGTTTTATTAGGATCCATGGAATCTCTTATTATTAAGCTCTCAGCATATAACATGCCAGCAAAAGGAATCAGCTTTTGGCCACTCCTAAGATGTTTCTGTATTCTTGAACTGTCCTCAACAAAATCTAAATCTAAATACAACTACTGATACTAGGGCATGCAGAATTAGAGAAAGCAGGACTGAATACCAAAAAGTTCACAGTCACTCTAAAAATAAAATGTATTACTTTGTTCTTATTACTACAAAGTAATCAATCAACTAAGTTTCCTTCTTTAAATTTCTCTAGAAAATCCTGAAGATATATTGTTCCATTCCATGATTCATGGCAGGTTACAAAGTTACTTAACATGTGTTTCAAGTTATACTGCTTTTCTAATCCCTTATTTTAGAAATATCACTGATTATATTCTCAAACCTACGAAATGAACAGTCCATCACAGTTCATGTAGTAAGATATGAATAAAAGTTAGAAGCAGTGACAACACCTCAGTATTGCCTCACTTTATGAAACATGCACGTTGGCAAAGATGGCTATACAGTATAAAGTGAATCATCTTTTACTCTGGATAAAAATCTAAGCTGCCTTCCGTACCTGAATCCCAACTGCTCAGCTGAAAAGTTTTGAAATTATAAGGACTCAGTAAAGCTGCTGGCCAGCTGTGCAGCAGGCAGGTTGAATATTATTATATTAAGGCTCATCAACCTACGGAGACTAAAGTCCCTTGGGGTTCTCGTTCCCCTCAGAGTATTTTAAGAACTTTCCATCTTTTGGAAGTGTCTAGATTTTGAACTTCTCACCTGCCCTAGTATCCTCTATGGCCCAGCTCTGACTGCCTGCTTTCCAAAACCTGCCTGCCTTCCTCCTCTTCTTAGTGGGACATGTATAATGTTTAATTGGGCAAGACAGGCATTTCGCATTTTGTCCTTATGTGCTCCTTTCTAGTTCATGGTGAACGATGATATAAAATGTAGCTTCAAACCTTTAGTTCAAACCTGCAACAAACACAATCACTGGGTTTTGAAGGTTTAAAAGTTTGTATACGGTGCAAAAAGTCTATGCAGAGATGTTTATACATTTCCTGATTTCAAGACTATTCCACTCGTGGTTGCCTAGCACAAACATTTCGGCTGTTTTTTCACTTGCTGGTAAACCCCTTTCTTTCTATTTCCCAATCATGAGCAGGTTTATAATTCTATTCATTCATTCAAAGCTCATTCAAAAAATGCTGTATTTATAGATTGCCTACTGTGTGTCAGAAGCTATTCTAAGGTGCTGGGAGCCAAGAATGAACAAAACAAACATCTCTGCCCTCAAGGAATCAGTTACACCACAGGGAGGCAGACAACAATAAAGAAAAATAAGTAAAATATAGTACGTTAGGTGGCAGTAAGTTCTAAAGAGTAAAATAAAGCAGGGAAGGGGAATAAGTCCTGAAGGTGGGGTGCAATTTTAGATATTTTATAAACATTTTGACAACACCATCAAGAAACATTTGTTTTGATTTTTCACTTTTTTTTTTTTTTTTTAATTCTGAACCCTAAAGAGATAAAACGTGGACAGACAAGTTCCTGTTTTCAGTTGCACAGATCTGCTTTAACATGTATCCACTATCACCGTAAAGGCTAAAGGCAGGGTAAACTAAAAGCTCGGAAAATTGAAGTAGCCTGATGACAATGCATATTGTGACCACACTGTTGCTTTGCTGATTTTCACAGGAACTATACATAATATACCCATTTGGTAACAGGACATTTCAACATGATTTACTCAAATTAATATGTAGTATTTTCTTCTATTTTTCTTGGGGAAACTGAGAGCAAGGACAACTATGTAGAAAACTATTCCAAGAATTGATAATAGCTGGGGCACAGTATAAACTGGGTATCTGAACCAGTGCTCTAAGGGAAATAGTCAGGGCAGTAGTGATAGCACTGTAAAGAGTCTATAAAAAATAAAGTGTTCTAAAATGTGCGACAGTTAAGTTTCCTTAAATTTATGTGGAAATGAAAAGCACTGTCCATAAGGTATTCACAGCTATAGGCAAAATTAGGAGAGGTATGTGGTCATTACGCAAACCTTAAGGGCAAAGAATTCTTTTGTTCAACACCTACTGAAGTCCAGAGAGCCTCAGCATGGTCCAATTCCAGAGGGTGAAAATTTTCAGCCCAACGTCAGATGCATTTTTCCAATTCATAAGCTAAATGAATCACCTATTGACAAATGCCCCCAAAGGCAAAAAGAGTCCCCAGGTACCAGAGATGAATGCCTAAGACATCCACTGGTGTCACCACGATTGCCATTATACATGGCACCTGTTTTCAGGTCCCTTTTCTTTTCCTGTCCTTTGCAGTTTCCCTCTAACTATGATAGACCTGTACAAGGTTTTTTGGCTCTAGCTGGCAGCACTCAGAGCTGGAATTTGCTGACCCTAATTAATGACAACAGCAGAATGAATGTAGCTAAACATAGTTTATCACTAACCATGTGCCAGCCGCGTTGCTAAGTATTTTACAGTTATGGTCTTATTTAATCCTCATACAGCTGTGACATAAGAGATTTTATCTCCATTTTATAAATGCAGGAACAAGGCCCTAAAAGGTTAAGTATTCTGCCCAAGGTCACACAGCTAGCAAACCTCAAAGCACAAACTTGAAACCTAAGCATCCGTCTTATCCCAAATAATAATGTTCTTTCACATTGAGCCACAAGGCCTATGCTCCAAAATCATACAGATCTGAGTTCCAACCTTACCGCTACCATTTACCACTTGTGTGATTTGGTGAGTTATTCAACCTGAAATTCCTGGAGTATAAAACAGAATAACAGTACCCCTTCAGGATGTGGCTGTGAGTATAGGCTAGCATATATAAAAACTGCCCAGCAGAGTTATTGTGGGACACTGTAATCAATGATTGCTATATCCAATTCCGCTTTTCCTTCCATTTGGTTGCCCGTTGTAGAGGGAGCCAGGAAAAAAATAACACGAAGAACAAGCAAAAATTGTAGATGATCATTCAGCACATTAATGGTCGATTTGCTCGTCCCCGAGAGGTTCCGGCACTGCAAAGAAATGCCACACCACTTCCTCCACACCCCTGGTGTAGTGCACCCAAAACACTAGACAGAAGAATTTCAAAGCTGGAGCAGGAAGAACAGCTGCTGGGATACGTCTTCTCGCAACCCACCCCAACCGGCAGCTTCTCTTCCGCAGCTGTGAAGAGCGCCCCGTTCATCTGGGCATTCGCTTCACCAAGAGAGCGGTGTGCGGACCCCACCACTCTCCCCGGGTGGGCACTGTAGCGATTTCAGGGCCGACACTCTTCCCTGGGCCACAGGTCTGACCCTCCCCCATCAGGGGAAGTAGGCGGATCCCGGGCACCACCACTCCAGGTGCGCGAGCGCCAGGTCCAGGCGACTCCTGGCCGCCCAGAGCTGAGCCCCAAGCCCGGGCTCCTCCAGAAGGCACTGGCCAGCCCCGGGATCGCGTAGTGGCCTGGGAGCCTCACGCGCGCCCTGCGGATCCCTGGCCCGGCGAAGCCCAGAGTGCACTTCCAAACCCAGGGCCCAGTGGGCCTCGCCGCGCGGAGCCTGCGGGCCCAGATTCTGCAGGTCAGGACTTTCCTCTTACCCTTGGAGGCGGGGGGTGGCGGGAGAGTGGTGGTGGTGGCTTGCGGGGGTCCCAACCCAGAAACAGGGGGAGACCCACACTCACATGCTCGTCTTTGGAGTGGCAGTCGAGGCTGGTGCAGGACAGACCAGCAGATTCCACAGCGCAGCCCCAGTGCCTGAGATTCACAAGTACCCCAGGCAGAAGAGGCAGAGGGGCGGGGCGGGGCGGGGCTCCGGGGGCGGCTCCAAGGCGCGCCCCGCCCACTTCCAGCCGGCGCGAGGCTCCGCCCCCCAGTCGTAGCCCTATGTCTCCTGCTGGCTGCTGATGGGCAGACGCTTCTCCTCTGCCTTGGAGGTTGCTAGCTAACCGAAAACTCAAAATTGACATTAGGTATTACAAAAGATGTTTGGTACACCAAAATAAATTTATGAAGAATAAAAAATTTAAAATATTTGAGAAAACTTAGGCCATATCTGAACGGAGAGAAACTCTCAAAATGAAAATAGTGAAATACGTACTGGTCCTTAACCATATCTAGCGTGTTTAAGGTGGATACTGACGTTTAACATCCTTCATTTCATTAATCCTCACAACAGTCTGTGACATATTTGGTGCCCCATTTGTCCCCATTTCACAAATGAAAACTGCGGTGGAATAACAAGATTGGGAAGCTAGCAATTGGCCTACTGGCCTAAAGTCACAGATTGTACTAAATAACCTCAAAGCACCCAGCTTACCAGCCTACTACAGTAAAAACAAACCACTATGGGAAACATTGCTGCATTTGACTGCTTAATAATTCAGAATTTCTGTCCAAGGAAATGGGGACAAAAATCAATAGGCAAAAACATTGGGAAAAAAGTTTGTCACGGCTTGGCGCCTGTGGCTCAAGTGGCTAAGGTGCCAGCCAAATACACCTCAGGTGGCAGGTTCAAATCCAGCCCAGGCCCGCCAAACAACAATGACCGCTGCAACCAAAAAATAGCCAGGCATTGTGGTGGGCGCCTGTGGTCCCAGCTACTTGGGAGGCTGAGGCAGGAGACTCGCTTGAGCCCAGGAGTTGGAGGTTGCTGTGAGCTGTGATGCCACGGCACTCTACCCAGGGGGACAGCTTGAGGCTCTGTGTCAAAAAAAAAAAAAAGTTTGTCACAAACTTGACAAAAGGTTAGCATCTTAAATTCATTTAAATCTGTAAAAGGGATAAAAACATGCAATTGGCGGCACCCATAGCTCAGTAGGTAAGAAGTAATACACCAACCACATACACCGAAGCTGGCGGGTTCGAGCCCAGCCCCTGCTAAATAACAATGACAACTGCAACAAAAAATAGCCGATGTTGTGGCGGGGACCTGTAGTCCCAGCTACTTGGGATGCTGAGGCAAGAGAATCATTAAGCCCAAGAGTTTAAGGTTGCTATGATGCCACGGCACTCTATCCAGGGCCACATAGGGAGACTCTGTCTCAAAAAAAAAAAAATCAATCATAGACCCACATGAAAGAAAATCTCAAACTTCAGAAGGAGGAAAAGGGGAGGGAGTTCAGTAGCTTTCCACCCAATGGGTACAATGCATGGATATATATATATATATGGCATACTCCCTGGGTATAGGATACAACTACAATTCTAATTTTTACCTGTCATCTGTAAATTAAATAACCTAGTGTTTTGTACCCTTATATTAATCTCAAATAAAAAAATAATGAAAAAAAAATCCCATTTCTCTAATAGGGAAAGATCCCATCAGAAGCTTTGTGTTGTGACGTGGAGAGGATATGACTTAGTGTCTCTGCCGAAAATGCGTGACCTGAATTGAGTCTCAAGAATCCTAAGGAAACTATCAGTCAAACACAAATTGATGGACACACTATAAACTATTTATTCTTAACCACGGAAATCTGGGTAGGAGTGCCAAATAAAATGAAGGATGCCCAGCCAAATTTGAATTTCAGAGAAATAACAAACAATTTTCCAGTAGAAGTTCACCCCATGGAATATATCATACTAAAAAAATTATTCATTGCTTTCTGAAGTTCAATTTTTACTGGATGTCCTCTATTTGTATCTGTTAAATCTGAGAACTCTACTCCCAGGGACATTTGGCTGTGTTGGAGATACTTCGGTTTTCACAACTGGATGAAGGTGCGCCTGGGATTTAACACATAGAGGTTAGAAACACTGCTAAACCTCCTGCAAATCCCACAACAAAGAATTATCCAACCTACATTTTAATAGAACCAGAGTTTAATAGAACTCTGAGAAACCCTGCTATAAATCATTGCAGCTATACATAAAAAATATTGATGTTATATAAGACAAAGGCTGAGGAACTATTACAGAGTTAAAGAAACACAACAAACCCAACATATTATCAAGATTCGATCTTGATTAAGGTAAAAATATTTGGTATAAAGATAACATTGGAAAATCTACAAAATTTGTATATCAAAAAATAGTACTGAAACTGCCCTTACAAATTAGTAACGGGGTGCAAGGTGAGAACTGTGGTAAGGGCCTACCTAATATTAGGCATAGGCCTCTCTAAAAATAATGGGAGTAATTAGCCACTGTTCCCCTATCTGATACTCTGGAGTCACACAGTGGTCACAAAGATTCTTAGCTTTCTCCACAGGTAATAATAACATATTTGAAACCTAGGGGTAGTTTTTGAGATATCTTCCATATTCTGCATACACGTGGATTGTCTGACCCACCTAGACTGGCAGCCCATACTAAGGAACTGATTCATCTGGTCTTCTAACTCCTGATCGAAGAACCCTCTTCTACCCTTCAGTGGACTGGCTGACCTACCCAGGCCAGAGGCCCATCTGGAAGGACTAATAGTTCTGCCCTAAACTTAGCAGAACCCTGATTGCCAAATTCTCTGCTCACCAACACCATGTTGAAAACTCGTCTCCCAAATTTTGGGGAAGGCAAGTTTGAGAAATTCCTCATCTCCCCAGGTAGTATTATGCAGAATAAACTCTTTCTTTCCTGTAAACCCTGATGTTTCTGAGTATGGCTTCCTCTTGCACAGTGGCAAATAAACCTCTTTGGGTGTCAACAGATTCTATCAATTTCAATTTCCTGAGTCTGATAATTATACTAAGACTAAATAAGAGAATGTTTTTGTGGCTCAGTGCTTATAGCTCAGTGGTTAGGGCACCAGCCACATACACCAAAGCAGGTGACTTCAAACCCTGCCTGGGCCTGCTAAACAGCAATGACAACTGCAACAAAAAACAGCCTGGCCTTATGGTGGGCACCTGTAGTCCCAGCTACTTGGGAGGCTAAGGCAAGAGAATTACTTAAGCCAGAGAGTTTGAGGTTGCTGCAAGCTGTGACACCACAGCACTCTACTGAGGGCAAAATAGTGAGATTCTGTCTAAAAAAAAAAAAGAAAGTTTTTTGTCTCTAAGAGTGAAAAGTCATGATAGCTGTACACGTCTCTCAAAAGTTTCAACAATAGAAAATAATAATGGGAATAAAATATACATATTATATGTAATACATAAGAAGAAAGCTGAAGCAAATGTGAGAAAACATTAACAGTGGCTAAATCTAGTTGAGGAGTATGTGAGAATTCCTGTAACATTTTCAGGAATTAAATTTTGTTCAAAATGAAAAAATTTAAAAATCCACTCTAGCAGAAACATCAGAAAGTCAATTTTAATATTATCATAGTATCCAGTGGTATATAAAATATTACTTAGCAATATTGAGGCAGTCACCAGTAGACATATGTTAACTAAGATAAAGGTGGTTCTAAGGGAAAAGACTAAACTTCAGAAGAAGTTGGGAAACCTTTCCATAGATTTTGTAAATCCTGAAGAAGTATGGTAAGAGGTGGAAGCAGCAATCATACAGTAAAAGGAACACTGGATTCAGAGTCGTGGATCCCATTGTTCTAGCTATACCTATTAGTGGTGTATCCTTGCTTAAGCTAATAAATCTCTTCCAGTTACAGTTCCCTCATTTCTTAACCCGGATACCAACAAGATAGTTGGGAAGATTAAATGAAATAAAAGTGTAGTAATACAAGTACTATAGAAATGAACCTAATTTTTTTTTTTTTTTTTTTTTGAGACAGAGCCTCAAGCTGTCCCCCTGGGTAGAGTGCCGTGGCATTACAGCTCATAGCAACCTCCAACTCCTGGGCTCAAGCGAGTCTCCTGCTTCTGCCTCCCAAGTAGCTGGGACCACAGGCGCCCGCCACAACGCCCGGCTATTTTTTGGTTGCAGCCGTCATTGTTGTTTGGCGGGTCCGGGCTGGGGATTCGAACCCACCACCTTAGGTGTACGTGGCTGGCGCCTTAGCCGGTTGAGCTATAGGCGCCGAGCCGAACCTAATTTTTTAAAGCTGTAACTACCTCCCCTTATTGCCCATAGAATTTTTCATATAATCCACATAACAGGTACTCTTATTTGCAGCCTGTGAACCACATCAGTCCCGAAGTAGGATTCAAAACCTCTTCATTCCCTTCCTTGCTTCACTCTATTCCAGTGAGAAAAATCACATTTATTCAAGATTTTTAGGGGTGAGCAGGTTAGGTTGGTTTTTTGTTTGAGATGGACTCTCACTCTGGTCCCAGCTTAGAGCACCTTCGAGTTAGCCTAGCTCACAGCAACCTCAAAATCCTGAGCTCAAGCAGTTCTCCTGCCACACACACACACACAAGCTGAAACTACAGACAACCACCACAACTCCCTAGCTAATGTTTTCTATTTTTAGTAGAGACAGGGTCTCACTTTTTCTTTTTTTTTTTTTAAGAGACAAAGTCTCACTTTGTCGCCCTGGGTAGAGTGCTGTGCAGTCACAGCTCACAGCAACCTCCAGCTCTTGGGCTTAGGCGATTCTCTTGCCTCCTGAGTAGATGGGACTACAGGCGCCTGGCCTCCAACTCCTGAGCTCAAGCAATCTCCTCGCCTCAGCCTCCTGGAGTGCTAGGATTACAGGGATGAGCCACCCGCCCAGCCTAGACTAGTTTTTTTGTTTTTGTTTTTTTTCCTTTTTAACCACAGATCCCCTAGCATACAAAGGCATCAATGTCCTGTAAAGAGGCCTCTTCCCTCTAAGTCCACTTTGCCCTTTGCATTATTTTTTCCTCTTCTCCGGCTTTTTTTCTTTTCCTGAATTTCTAGTCTCCCGATCTTTGCCTTTCCCTTCTTTGCGCCGGGCAGTTTGATTCTTCCACACACTTATTTCCAAAAAGGGATGCTCTAGGATTCACCCGACTTTGAAGACAGAAGAGAATTATAAATAACACTTCCTTTTTCTTGCATACACATATGCTTGGGTCTGCTTCTGACCTTTCAATTCTGCTCTGAAAATCTACCCTCGTACCAAAACCAAGAAAGAGTCCGGGACGGCGGAGCCGAAACAGGCCGCAGGACTGTCAGAGGCAGCATAACAACTCCCTCACCGTCCGGGTCCAGGGACACGTGCGCGGAAGGTCGGCCCAGTCCTACCCAATCCGGGGACTTTTCGCCCCTAACCCGGGGACCGGAAGCCGTGGGGCAGAGGAGGGTTGGCCCGGAAGCGGTTGTGGGAAGGACCGGGAACCGCACAGACTCGTAGCCGCCCGAAAACGGGAGGCGCCAGCCCGTTGAGTTGTAGGTCATGGCGCTGGCCGTCGGACTGCGGCGCCTCCTTCCCTTGAGACGCAGAGCCGCCCTGGGCTTTCGGCTCCGCACGGGGACTTCCAGCAGCCGCGGACAAGGCGGCCCCGGGCGATTCCACGGCTCTGAGGTACCATGGCCGCGCTGGCTCCCGCTTCGTCCCGTGCCGAGTGGGGTGGGTTCAGGCGCTCCCTTCTCCAGCCTGGCCAGCCTCGCGCCGCCTAGCGGAGGGACAGTGACGAGGTCCCGGAGCCTCCCGGTGACTGGACCGGTCCTTCCCTTTCGCTAGCGCCCTCTCTGCAGGTTGGTGTGGGGTCGGAAGAAGTGGAGTGTGCCTTCCTCGGGAAGCTGTAGACCGGTCTACAGTCCTGCACTTTAGCCTGGACAGTGGACGGAGACTCTGTCTCAAAAAAAATAATAAGTAAAAAATTAAAAAAAAATTAGCCAGGAAGGTGGCACATGCCTGAAGTCCCAGTAACTTAGTAGGTAGAAACAGGAGGATTACTTGAGCCAGGAGTTCAAGGTTACAGTGAGGTATGATTGTTCCATTGTACTCCAGCTTAGCCGGCAGTGACAGCCTGTCTTTTTTTTTTGGCCGAGGCTGGGTTTGAACCCACCACCTCCGGCATATGGGGCCAGCGCCCTATTCCATTGAGCCACAGGTGCCACCCCAGCCTGTCTTTTTTTTGAGACAGAATCTCACTTCATTGCCCTTGGTAGAGTGCTGTGGCATCATCACAGCAGCCTCAAACTCTTGGCTCAAGTGATTCTCCTGCCTCAGCCTCCCCAAGTAGTTGGGACTACGGGTGTCTGCCACAACGGAAACAATAGCCTGGCTATTTTTAGAGGTGGAGTCTCTCCCTTGCTCAGGCTGGTCTCAAACCTATGTACTAAGGCAATCCAGCTGCCTTGGCCTCCCAGAGTAGTAGGATTAGAGGCATGAGCTATGGCTCCCAGACATGATATCCTGTTTTTAAAAAAAATAATTAAAAAATGGGTTACATACAAAGCTTGAAGGCTATGAAAGGAGAGTTCTCATACACAGGTATTGATAATAAGAACTATTACAGAAGACAGCAAAAACTATAACCTATCATAAAGGCCTTTGCAACTTTACATAAAAAAACTGCAAGAGCATCAGCTTGGTTAACCTTGGACTGGCATCATCTTGGTTATTGTTGTAGTCAAGAATAATTAATTATCTCAGTATAATTATGTCATTTTCCTGACTTTTTCTTTAAAAACTTTTGTCTTGGTCAGGTGCAGTGGCTCACGCCTGTAATCCTAGCACTATGGAAGGCCAAGGCAGGTGAATGGCTTGAGCTCATGAGTTTGAGACCAGCCTGAGCAAGAGTGAGACCCTATCTCTACTAAAAATGAAAAACTGAGGCAAGAGAATCTCTTGAGCCTAAGAGTTTAAAGTTGCTGTATGATGCCATGGCACTCTACCAAGGGCAACAAAGTGAGACTGTCTCAAAAACAAACAAACAACAAAAAAAAAAACCCTCTCCTTTTACCTCCTTGAATATGGATATAATTTATTATGGCACATATATTCCTATTGCCATGTCCATTCTTGAATGTTTTCTTTAGGCATATTTAGTTTATGTTAGCTGTATCTCAGTAAAGGTGTTTTTAAAAATTTTAAACCCATTTATGATTATTTTTAAAGGGAAGATGTAAACAGCTGGCAAATGGTGTTGATTGGTTAAGTAAGATTAAAATTCAGAATTGATCATAGGAAATAGGACCATCCTAGGTGATATTAACTTGAATACCATCAGTGGAGTTGTGGGGATAAAAGTGTGATTTGTAGGAATTTAAGAGAGAATGGAAAGAAGGGACGTAGAGACAGTACTGACAACTTTTTTGAAGAGTTTATGGAAAAGAGTGGGAAGTGAGAGTGAAGGGAGATGTGCAGTCAAGGGGAAACTTTGTTTGCAAAAGAAAGAAATGACAGCTTACGAAGATAGTATAACTTGCTTTTATGCTTACAGGAATGATTCAACAGAAAGGGAAACATTGTGGAGAAAAGGGGGAATTGCTGGAGTGACAGCCATATGTTCTTCTGTCAGTGGTCTAATGAGTCTAGCCATAATTATGAAAATTAACTTCCAGAGTTGTTTGCATAGATTTATTTATTCATTTTTTATTTTATTTCTTTGAGACAGAGTCTCTGTTGCCCTGGATAGAGTGCAGTAGCTCAGTGCAACCTCTAACTCCTGAGCTCAAGCAGTCTTCTTGCCTGAGCCTCTTGGGTAGCTGGGACTACAGCCAGCCACCACTCCTGGTTATTTTTTCTATTTTAAATAGAGATGGAGTCTGGCTCTTGCACAGGCTGGTCTCAGACTCCTGAGCTCAAGCAGTCATCCTGCCTTGGACTCCCAGAGTGCTAGAATTACAGGAATGAGTCACCACAACCTGCCTCATTTATTTTATTTTATTTTATCATGTGATACTTTACTAAAGAGAATGTTCTCCAGCTCTATCCAGGTTATTACAAAAGATATATAGTCTCCATTTTTATGGCTGAATAGTATTCCATGGATACATATAGCACAGTTTATTAATTTGTTGGGATACCACCCTGGAGTCAAGACCTGTGGAAATAGTGGTAATCAATCTACTGGGAAAAATGAAAGTAAAAGCAGTGAGAGATAAAGGGACAGAACACACCAAATAGAGTTTTAAAGCGTGGACACAGGGGTCCACTGCTAGCTATGGGGCTTCAGCGAGTAGCCCTAAGTGCTTATTGCACCCAGTTTTTATGAAGGCTATTTTTTTACTTAGCCAAGGGAGTAAGCTGAGGAAGGGAACAAAAACGTCAGCTGTTTCTGTGAGTAAGCATGTTAGTTCTGATTCTATCTATGAGCATTAACTTTAAGGCTCTGGGCAGCCTTGAGAAATGCGGAACCGGGGCAGCCTTCTGTTTGTGCTCATGCACACAGATCCCTTGGGAAGATTAGACCCCTTTCTAGTTTCTCTGTGGAGCAGACAGTAGTGATGTTAGTCCTCCTTTGAAGAATCAGTGGAAAAGAGGAATTTTCCCCTTATCTCCACCTGGAGGCATTTTCCTCCCTGGTTAGAGTAGAAGCCCTCCTGCCCATATCTCAGGGTTCAGACTGTTCCCTTGATCTCTGCCTTAGCCGTTATACAAATCCCCACAATGAGTATTTGCTTCTGGAAGGTTGTTGACTGTTGACTGGGCAGGGGTCAGCTTAGTTAATGTTCCTTCCCAGGCCTTGCACACAAGCTTCTGCTGTGGCCATTGTTCTTCAGCGTGCTTACAGTAAAAGCAGAAACTGCCCAGACACGTAATTCACCTGTAACTTTAAGAGTAAACTAGCTAAATTGTTTTTATTCTGCCTCGCTCAGCTTATTTTTTTTCCCCCCTTTTTGGGGTGTTTTCCCTTGCTAAGAATGGGGTCTTCAGTCTCCATTCTCCCTGCATTAATCTATCCATGGGTTGATGCGCACTTGGTGTTTGTAAATTGAGCTGTGTCAAACAATCTAGTGTAAATGTCTTTATGATAAAATTATTTTTTTCTTCTGGGTGGATACCTAGCATGGGATTGTGGGATCATCATTATTTACTTAAAAACCGTGGGTTTTATGTGTCATTTTTGAA